TATATAAGGACCTTACCTATAGAACTATTAAGAAATCTACATTTTGAACGATGTATAAAAATTATTCTTTCAAATTAGATGTGTATCAAAATAAAACTAAAATAACTTTCAACTACAAGAGTGAACACAAACAACCTATGACTAGAAAAACTCCATAACACTTTATCTCAAACTTCTGGCATATCAAAACGGGAGGATAGTGACCTTTTATCATCATGTTCTATTTCACTTGTAGAGCATCAGTACAATATTGGAAGTTTCCCTTTTGCCAGTAAAATAAACCTAAGAATCTATAGCCTCAGAACTCTGGAATAAGAACGTCAGTTTTGATCATAATTTCATAAATGGCTTCCAGTTTGCGGGTGATTGGACATACCGAGCCGGAGTTGATATACACATACACTCTTCCCTCCTCCCTGATGGTGCTCTGCATGGGAGCTCCCACAAGTAGATCTGAGAAGCCATCTGCGTTGAGGTCCACAGCACACACAGAAGCTCCAAAATATGAGCCAAGCTGTCCCAAAGCAAACCAGATCCAATCATTGAGAAAAAGGCAGGGCTACTCACAAAAGTCCTCAGCATACCAAAGGTAGAGACATATTACCTTTTTACCTTTCATTTCATGTAAGATATTTAGTTCTTTTTCATCAATGCTGAATATATATGCCTGTAATTGGGGAAAGAATTAGAAAAGGGTAGATTGCTATCAGATTTTTTTTAAAAAAACAACTTATTTCAATTTGATCAAAACATCAATTTTTATAATTTGTAATTATTCAAATGTCAAAATATCTTTTTAAGACTGGTACAAAGGGTTTAGGGATCCACTGCTACATTAATATGCCTTACTTGCAAAACTAACTTCTCAGGAATTATCTCATTGATCTCGTAGAGAGGGCACAGAGAGTGCTGTTTGCTTCACTTTTCAAAATTATGGTTCAGAGAAATTGAAGGACCAACATTCACATAGCAATGTGGCAATAACTAGAACCAGAAACAACATTTCCTTCCTTCTAGTCTTACCACAATACCTAAGTGGCTCAATTTCTTTTTGGCTATAAAACTGTTACATATAGTACATGTATTCCCTGGACATCTTTAGATAATTCTATTTTACAAACAATTTACTTATAATAAAGAAAGGCCTCATTTGACTTATATTATTTTCCTGAAAGCTTTTGTGCTACATTTCTCCTAAAATCATAAATCTTTCACTAATTCCACTGAATGCGATATACTGGTCATCATTTCTAATCTTTCATTCCTTAGAAAATCTGCAGTTTTTCCTTTAAGATCTTATTCATGCAATTTACTTGAACCTTTGTGAAGAAATAAGCACAAAAATGTAATTCTCACTTTGCCAATTTGTTCATATTGAGGAGCTCCTCCAACCACTTCAGTAGTATGCTGGCTCCGAAAGTGACCAGCTCCAACTGAATAGCCTTCAAGAAAAGGGAGAAAAGTCCGAGAATCATTATTTACAATGGGTAAAATATATCATAAATCTACACATAGAATTAAATTAGACTGAATTCAAAATGACTACATTAAGCAGAATTTTAATATTTAGCACAGCAATACTCAAAATTGGTCATTTATTACATGTTTTAAGCAATTTTGATGTATGTGTTATGAAACTAATCACGTGGTTTATATTTCCAAGTCCTAGAAATTGAAAACAGCATCTTTACATCTGTTTATTCCCTGTGTAGTATCAGTAATCAGCTTCTAGGGATTACAAAACAAATATTTTAGAGTATATAAAATATAAATTCTAAACTTTAAATAAAAATCATCCTAAAGTTCAACTTCTTTGCCATAAAGTCTATTTATTGTGATGACTTTATGATAACAAAAGTAAAATATATTTTAGGTGATAAAAGGCATAGCAAATTATATTTCTTATAATACTTTAAGACATTTGTCAATCATAAACAAGAAAATGTTGAATGGTAAATGAATTCCTCTGCTTGAAAGTGAATTCTGTTTGAATGGAAAAAAATATTGCTTTATAATTATTTCTGAGTATAAGATGCTCACATTTGAAGCATATACAGTTTAAAGAAAGCTGTATTTTGTATAATAGGAAAAGCATTTATTTTCTTGTGATGGGAATTAATGCCAGGAAATTTTGTATTTCTGTAGAAATATAGATGATAAAGTATCCTACTGCTGACATATGAGATGACGATAATGAGGAGGAGGAAGAGGATAAAAATAGTTAAGCTCTGGGAAATATTCTCAGAAGTTATGGGGCAAAGGTCAACGAGCCATTTTTAGACCCATATGCTTCATAATGTTACCCCTTCTCTAGAATGCTGTCCCCACTGGCTTTCAGTTGGTCCTTTAAGACACTATACTTACTCATACATGTTCAAATGAATTAATTCATGTGAAGTTCTTTTAAAAAGTTCCTGGCATGTGGTAAGCATTCAATAGAGTCTGTGTATACAATAATAAGTTGACTGCATAAAGATGCAAGCTTATAAACATTTCCTAAAGTGAACTGCAAAGAGTAAACTAAACTAGGAGTTCTAGTCAAATAATTATATTAATATATTGCCGATGATAGTCACATATGTAAATGTAAAATATTAAGTCAACTAAAAGTTCATATCTTTTAAGTGGCAGTTTTTGAACTTTCTTTTTAATTACCACTGGCCACTTAGACCTTTTGAAAATACAATTTCCCTTATTTATCATTATAGTACCAGTATCTGTAAAGCAGAGATAATTTGAGTTTGTCAGTTTTTATAATACCTAAATAACTTCCATATTTTACTGGATTGTGATTGTTCGCGAAAGCCTTGTATTTATTTGTGGTTATATTGTAAACAAAAAGAGAGCCTGTCCAATAAGACGATCCTGGGGCTCCCATCACAATTACATCCTGTAAGGAAAAAAAAAAAGTCATCACTTAAAAGTTAAATCTTACCACCTTAAAACTTTCTCCAGACATATAACATTTTAAGTAAATAGTGAAGAGACTACATTACCATAATAAATTTCTGAATTATGAGCATTTTATGAAGTTAAAAACATAGCAGAAAAAAAGCCAGAGAAGCTGACTGATGTATTTCTACCTAAAAGCAGAATTTCATAGAAGAAATGCTGAAAATCTATTTCACATTTATCAGTGGATTTTAAAAGTTGAAGATAGAATCATTAAACATTAGAGTAAGCTTTTAGGAGAAAGGCAATGTGATTTCTATTAAAGAAAATCGTATATGGGTAATTCATTAGTGCTCATTACAGAGATAATGTGTGTTGCCAGAGAGTAAAAAGTGGGCTTAATTTATTTCAATTTGCAAAAAACCATTGACCAGTTTATGTAACAATGTTAGCTTAACAACAACAACAATAAAAAAGTCCAATGAAATTTGGGGCATATTTTACTACAAACAGGAATTTTAGAGAAGGAAACAGAAGGAATGTCGGAATGAGCATGCCCTTGTCTGGTACAGTATCAACACTTTCAGCAGTCAAGCCTATTTAAATATTTCTATATTTCCTAAACAATCCTGAACTTTAAAAAACAGGTCAATTTATATAGAAACTAAAGAAAGTATTGTAAACATTTTTAAATATAATAGTTAATATTTACAGAAATTGTTAACACTCAATACAGCTTGATTTCCACGAAAAACATTCACAAATTCATAATGAGCTTTTAAGAGAATCTGGGAGATTTAGGGATTGTGTTTAACTGTGACCTTTCATAGTGTACGCTGGAGCGTGAGAAAAGAGAACTTGGGAATACCGTATATCTGATTTAGGAGGATATCAAGTTCTTAAATATCCCAATTATCATAATGTTAATGGAAAATGTGGATTCGGATGCTTCCTTTCTCCTGTAATTAGTAACTAAAAATAACATACTTGGATTGATATTTTCAATACCTAACAATTAACTATATCTCCTTTTGATTTTCATTAAATTTTCGATGGAAGCAATATTCTTTAGTATAGACTTTAGTTGGTCTTATGTTGCACAGACTGCTAAATAATATTTTCTCAAAATATATGTGGAATATTGAGTGGCAAAAATTAAGCTGTAATACTCAGAAATTTAAGAGACATTATGCAGATGTTACATAATTTTTACTTTAAAGCATAACATTAGTCTTAAAGCCTTCAGAATAATTTAGGTTCTATCTGTAAATATTCATAGCAACTACTTTTTGAACTATTACCTCTGTGTAAAAACTGGATATTCCAGCTTGACATGATGCAAAATTTTCTCCAAATTTTCTCACAAAATCTAAAATGGAATATAAAAACAATTCAGAATTTCATTTTAAAATAAAGACATAATCTCCATAATTTGCTTTTCTAACAAATCCTTACAAATAAGCCTTTTAAGGTCTCTATTTTGCACTCTCATTGAAAAAATAGTAACTTTGATACAATTTAAGAATACAAATCTTTTCCATATTAATCTTCAAAATATTCCTGTGAAATGGCAATAAAAAAATCTTCTGCCTCCTCTTCATAGGAAGAACATGCAACACTCAAAAATTTGTCAAATGAGTATGTAAGAGGTAGGATTTGTGTCTTTGAATCCATATCTTCTTTTCGTTGCATATATTTAAGGTGTACATCATTTTGATAGAGATATATATACACACATATATACATATTTTCCTACATAATGAAATGATTACTACACTCAAGCAAATTAACATACCCAACTCCTGACAGTGACCTTTGTGTATGGTAAGAGCACCCTAAATCTACTTGCTTTGAAAATGTCCAGTACGCAATATATTATTAGCTATAGTCTTCATGCTGTACATTAGATCTCTAGACTTACTCATCCTACATCACTGCAACTTTGCACTGTTTGACCAACATTTCCCCTTCCCAATTCCCTTCCTGCTCCTGTTAACCTCCTTTATACTCTATGTATTTGACATTTTTAGATTCCAAATATAAGTGAGATTATACAGTATTTGTCCTTCTGTGTCTGGCTTATTTCACTTAACATAGTGTCCTCCGCTGGCATTCATCTATGTTGTCACAAATGACAGGATTTCCTTTTTAAAGGCTGAGTAATGTTCCATTGTGTATTATTATTATTAACATACACATATTATAAATATATTAATATATACATATTATTAACATATACATGTACATACCCCCAGACACACACACAATTCCTTACCCATTCATCTGTCTACAGACACGGATTATTTCCATATCTTGGCAATTGTGAATGATGCTGCAATGAACATGGTAACACAGATATCTCTATGTGCTACCAATTTCATTTCCTTTGGGAACATATCCAGAAGAAGAATTGCTGGATCATATGGTAGTTCTATTTTTTAATATTTTGAGGAAGCTCCATACTGTTTTCCATAATAATTGTACCAATACCGTGAAAGGGCTCCAATTTCTCTGCATCTTTACCAACACTTGCTATCTCATCTTTTTTATAATAACCACTCTAAGGGGTGTGAAGTGATATTTCATTGTGGTTTACGATTTGCATTTCCCTGATGATTAATGATGTTGAGAAACTTTTCATATATCTATTGGCCATTTTGAGGCCTTCTTTGGAAAGAAAGATATTCTGGTCTTTTGTCCATTTTTAAATCAGGTTATTTGGGGTTTTTTGCAACTGAGTTAGTGAGTTCCTTATATATATTTTAGATATTAACCCTTTATCAGATGTATGGTTTGCAAATATTTTCTCTCACTCCATAGGTTGTCTCTTTCACTCTGTTCTCTTTGCCGTGCAGAAGCTTTTTATTTTAATGCAGTTTCACTTGATTATTTTTGTTTTTGTTGCCCAAGCTTTTGGCATGATATCCAAAACATCATCGCCCAGCCAATGTCAAGGAGTTCTTCCCCTATGTTTTCTTCTAGGAGTTTTGTGATTTCAGGTCTTATGTTTGTCTTTAATACATTTTGAGTTGATTTTTGTATATGGTGTAAGATTTCAATTTCATTCTTTTGCATGTGGATAATTCAATTTTCCCATCACCCTTTATTGAAGAGAGTATCCTTTCCTAGATTTTACCCAGCTTAAAATACAGACTGAATCAAGATCTGCATGGAGATGGAGGGTCTTTTATTACAAAGTCCCACAAATGAATACTTTTGAAACTTACTAAGGAGACATAGCTTTACTTCTTATGAAGAACTGACATATGTAAACCTCTGTGAAAATAAGAATGAGGAAAGCTTCTCTTTGGTTTTGCCAACCAGAAAACTTAAATTGCTAAGTTGTTTATAATTACTATTTTCTGTCATGAGTTTTCACTCCTTTTTATATCTTACTTGATCCTATATTTTATAATTTTAGGCATGTCTAGGTTTATGCCACCCTGATTTTTGTATAGAATGTGGCAAGGTATATCTGAGCAGAAATAAAAACTCTACAGTGAAATGTTTTAAAGTATAAACCATAAACTATTAGGAAAGAGGATGATAAAATTTACAGAAACCTGGACTGAGTTTTACTGCAATTGAGAATTTAACATTTACCTTTTATCTTCCTGGCATCCAAAGGCAAAATAGAAATACATGTGATATAAGCTTCTCTGTAACAACAAATACCATGGACAAAAGACCCCAATATTATTAGTCAATAATTGAATTCGAATACTTGGCCAGAGTTTTTATAGCTAATAAAATTTTTCTTTAGATTCTGGGTTTTTTTTTTTTTTTTTAAGGGGAAGCTGGAGTTGGAAAAATTAGAAATTGGCATTCATGTATGTTTCTTAGTTTTCTAAAGAAACATTTTTAGAATTTTAGTTTTGTTGAAGATTATCATTTTAAATGCCCTATTGACATTCACCCCTAACTTTGCTCACTTCAGTTTATGTCCTATCTCTATACATGCTGATGCTACCTATAGCATAGAATTTCCATGGGAAAGACTTTAAACTTGAGATACCAATGTCTTCCTGTTTCAAGGAATACACGTGAATTAGGGAAAAAAAGAGTGAAAGATTTGCTTACACTTATACTCTGATTCTGAGTACTCTTAGAAGATAAAAATAAAGCAAGAAACCTAAACAGTCTTTTTCTTTTACACTAGATTTTCAATATAATTTTATGATTTTAAGTGTCCTATAATTACTGGGCATTAGACCCACTTATACCAAATAGAAAGTAAATTTAATGCAAAAGTGGGTAATTACCAATTAGATTCCAGGATTATTCAAATTAAACTGTAGAATTTTTATAGCACAAAGTACATTTATGAAAATTAATGCTCCTGCAATTGGGTAAAGAAAGAAAAGGAAGGGATGCTTTGAGTAGTTAAAAAGAATATAGCCACTTTGAAGCTCTTCCTATCCAAACATCCAAACTTGAAAATCAAAAAAACAAAGTATTCGCTTATTTCTCTGGGTCTAGTTAATATCAAAATCATGCCTTACCTTGATAACATGGAGATATTCTTCTACTCAGTTCTGTTCGTAAATCAGAGGGCATTCCATAGCAAACGCCAGTAGGGAGCTTATTTTCATTCTTTATGTAAAATATATTTTTCCATCTATGCCCACAAGTCTGAATAAAATAAAAGTAGACCAAATGATGTGAAAGTTCCACCCAGGATATCTAATTTCACGATGGATCAGTGGATCAATTCCAATACCTACCACGATGGACCCATTTTCTCCTGGCTGTCTGGCAAGTGTGACCCCCAACCACTGATTGTCTCTCTCTTCCAAACAAGTCTTCCCACAAGGGTCTCCAGTAGGGCTACCTGCAGCATTTGAAAATAATTGTACCATCAGTTATCCTGAAAACAATATTATTCTGCAAAAGCAGAGAAAGCAAATATGCATGCTCACCCCCAATGCTTTTCCTTCACTATCACCTTATATTCAGTGTATAACATGGGGTAAATGTGAGTTACTCTGTGCCAGTATCCTTATTCTCTCATACAAGGCGATTTTCATTTGTGGAAATGACCTCCAACTGGTAGCACCACGAAGAGACAGGTTCAGTGATATAGGAGATGGCTAACCAACATGACTAGAGTGAGGAAGACCAGTTAAAACCAACATAGGCTGTGCAAATACAACTGCACTGTCTAATGCTTGGAAAATAATTTACCATTTATTTAGCAATGTAAGCAACATCATCAGAGCTTTTTAACATGTTTCTTGTATTGAGGCATTTAGAAACACTACAATACAGTCTCACCAATTAAGGCACAGTTTATTGGAGCTGGAAGGTGATGACTGAGCATGCAGAAAGTGGAACATAGAATTAGCATACTAATAACGCACAGCATTTACAATAAACTGCCCTATGTTCTACATTTAGTGGAATGTGACCCACGTTTTCAACAAAGATAAAATGACTTGGAAAACCAGATTATTTCAGTAGCAAATAAAAAACGTCAATAAGCAATCTGGCAAATGCGTAAATAGCCAGAAAGTCAAATATAAATAAAATGTGAAATATAGTACTTTGTACAATACAAAGTAATCTTCAGTGATTTTTTTTCTTTTGTTAGCATAAATCCTTTGCTTTATAGCTGGGATTCTATTAAAATCCTGTATCTAAGGGATTTCAAATAAGTGAATTCGGGGGAGAATGAGCTACAGCGTAAGATTCTTTTTGTTGTCTTTATTTTCACCCTCTTCAATTGGCACTTGACAATTCTATTCCATCTGTGCTTAATTCCAGTGGCAGAGAAGTACATTAGCATCAGTCTGATTGGGTAAGGATGTGGAACTTGGGTTTGTTTGCTTCATTTCAAACATTGGTTACTAGGTACCAAGTTTTCATACATTTGTGGTCACTATTCTCTATATCATTAGGGAATTTGTCTCCTCCTATAACTTGACCACTAGATACAGCTTCCTGGGCAAACTTAAAATGCTTTTATAGGTAAGGTTAATATTTTGGGAACGAAATTATTTGCACTAAATCTCCTGGGTAGATTTTGTTTAAGAAGTGTGGGAAGATGTTTGCATATATATTTGTTTGTCCTCCAAAATGGCATTTGGGTAGAACAAAACTCTTAATTGCAGCTGAAGAAAATGTTCTAGCCCCTCCTCTGGAGATGGATTCAGTAGGTCCAGGTGAGGCCGTGACTTCCCCAGTGGTTCTTATGGTCAGGAACACTGTTGCAATGCAATGTGGATAATGTTTTTCTGGCCAGCCTTCATGTAGAATAATGAAAACTCCCACTAACTGGCAATGACTTCCTACAGGGCTAGACTGAAAGGTCTGGAGAAAGAATGCTGGGGTGAATAGGCAACATCTACTATTGGAATGGGAAAGGATTCTTGCTGCGGACCAATCCTTGATAATGGATGGTCGAGGCAGACACATAAGATCTCCGTGTTAAAATGAAGGAAGGAAAGAAGGGGGGAAGGAATGAGAGGAAAAGAGAGGGGTACACAGAAAGAAGGGGGAAAAAAGTATACTGTGGGAGGTGGTGGGTAAGGTCTAACATAGGGAGCTGTTATTTTGGCTACATAATGCCAAGCCAACAAAACTGAAGTGAAATAGAATGGCAAACAATAAATTTTAGGTTTCAGTTTGGCTTTTCACTAATATCACCAGTTATTTTTTCACTGTCAAAAATTGATGATAAATGGTAGATTTGGTCTACCTGAAGTTGCTCAGACACACAGGATGTGATTGCTAGAGGAAATTACACTGAAATTAATTAATATCCTACAGGAAGAAGGATTTTCATTTCTGTTAACTACATTTGTTTGTTTACAACTATCCTGGCCTACTTCCAAAGATGAGTAAATAGTGACCTCATTCATCCTGGCCAAGACTTTATCGTGTTTGTCATCATCCCACCCCCAACACACAACCCAGAAATGTGTGCTGAAAATGGAAAGGTCAATAAATAAAAAGCAATTCAAACTTCGATTGTGGTTTGACTAAGCATCTTCTATTTGTATGACATATCTTAATTCAAAATGTGTGTCAAAAAGGATGAATGTATAGCCAAAAAGAAAACTCATAAAGTCATGAAAAAAATCACTCTTCTACAAAAGGAAAAATAATCCTAATAAGGCAGCAAACACATATACTCACATTTAGATATGTTTCTCCTTTTCACTTCTTAACACTGCTTCTACCATAGAGGCAGTCTCCAATAGCAACAATAATACCAAGGTACTTTCAAGTACTGGTGAGGTGACAAGCTAGGAACAGTTCAAAGAACATCCTGTAAGTCCCCACTACTCTTCTGAGTCCTTTTTTCTTTTTTAATTCTGGAAACTTATCTCTTTTTCTTCTGTAGTGCTGCAGAATCTTGGTAGAAGAGGTCAGACCTTCACATCGTCAGCTTACGTTCAGGGCCTTCTCCAAGGCTTTTCTCTCTTAACCTTGCAAGCTCCCAAGGCCACTCCTTTACCACGTGGTACTCAGCCATGATTGGACATTAGGATCAACCCAAGGGAGTTGTAAACAAATACCAACACCTGAGCCCCACCGCCAGAGGTTCAGATTTGACATAGCTGGGTTGAGACCAAGGCATCAGATTTTTTTAAAAGGTTCCCAGGTAAGTTGTAGTTTACAGCTGGGCTTGTGAACAACTGCTCTACATTGTAGATTGTTATGCCTTTTCCTGTACTGTATATCATATTTGAAAAAACCTACAGTTTTAAAAATAATAGTAATATCTTTTTGCTCCCCTTGATTTCAGCTAGGTATTGAAATAGAATATCAAATGTCAAGCAAATTTTCTTCATGGAAAAATACAGTATTTCTAATTTGGTCAAAAATGATGATTATGAGAACTGTCATGAGAAACCTAATTCTCATGAATTTCCCTGACAGAACACCATAAATAAACTCAGATTATTTTTATATTTTATCCAAATGTCATGCTGAAATGATTTAGAATCCGGTTTTCAATTCAGCTCATACATTACTAACCTAAACTCTTAGTAAATCAAATCAGCTCCATAATTGAAAAAGTACTTTACACGGTTTAACATAAAAGAGGTCAGCAGAAATTAACGTGATAATTTTCCATGCCTTTATACAACTAGAATGACTAATTCTTAACACAGTTGAATGCATTCTCCCAGTAGACATTAAAAAAACAAAGCCACATAAAAACCATCCCCCTTATTCTAAAAATTAAGCCCATCTTCCTCTTCTTATTTTCATTTGGAAAAGAAAATATAAAAATATATGCTTACTATTAATACTTTTGTTTTTTATTTCCGCCTAATGATTTTTATCAGTATATACAAATATGTATGTAAATATGAACACACAGTAATTTTGATGAGTGAAAATAAAGAACGTAAGTACAAAGCCAAATAGAGAGGTACACTCTTTACTTCCCCGCCTTTTGTTATTCATATCACCAGTTTTAGTGTCATTGCTCCAATGCCAAAAATGTGACAGGGACTATGGAAGATTAGATATTTTTTCTAGTATGTCACCTTCATGACAGCAAATTGACTTCTGTTGACAATGCCATTCCCACAGATCAAAACAGTGCCTTCCATGCAGTAGGCAGGAACTCAATACGTATTTGCTGTGGGAGGGAATTTTGAAATATACAACTACAAAAATCCTTTACTAGAGTGCACTACTGCATAGTTTTCACCAAACTCTCAGGGATCTAAGCTTTGGCGAGATCTTTTCCCTTCATTATGATTCTTCCCTACTTCTCTTCCAAAATATTATTGCCTTAAGTTTTAAGATAGTAACAGACGGTCTGAAGGAAAACAGCCTTTGCAAGTTTGAAGATCTTTACATGGTGTGCGATTTGTGAGTAGGATGATTTAAGACTGAGAATCAGCTGGAACCCACAGGAGATGTCTATCTCAGAGGGTTTCTGCAAGGATTGCGGAGTAAACGAGTAAAGTGCTTGGACAAGAGCCTGGCAGAGACAACACGCAAATGTTAGTTGCTGTTGACATTATTATTTTAAGGATTAAGTTAAACATATTACTAAGCTGCACATACGTCACAGCATACAACCTCCTTCGTAAAATCCATATGGCACATCATCATTGGGAGCCTTATCCTCACATTAACTCATTCTATTCCCACAGTAATAGCAGAAGATGAGAAAATTGAGTCTTAAAGAAACTGAGTAACTTACCTAAACCCATGAGGCTGGTAAATGGAAGAGATTAGAATTAAAAAATAACATTAATCTCTAAGTTACTCTGCACTACTCTATAGCATACACAATAGAATGCTATAAAAATTTCAAAAATATGAATTAACTGATATCGATTTCATTTTCTGAATCTGTTTTTCAGCTGAAAATGTGTAAAATATCAAGTCTGCCCACAGACTGTATAGTCAACTTTCGAATGTTCAAGAAAAATGTCATTTACTTGGTCCCTCTCTGCCTTTTTCTCCACTTGGATCAGTTCTCAATATTTTGGCATTTCCACTGATGTAAGAAGAACTGAGGGAAAAGGTCCAACTCTAAGTTCTTCTTTCTATAACTTGTTGACGTTCATGTGAAACACTTTGTGGGTGGGGAAGCCTGGGACTTCTGAATGCAATGAAATGTTTGTATCTGCCTGCGTCACTATACTGTGGCTTCCCCATCAATTCAGACATTTGACTGGGGCCCTCAGTCTGACTTTCTGGCCACGAAGACAACATACACACTTATATTTCAAAACTCATGACATGATTTCAAGTTTCAGAAAAATACTGAAAGCCCTTACTTCCTTCCACCAATTAATTTTTTCTAAAGTTGAAGTTCTATTCCAGCAAAAGATGAGTCCTATAAATTTCAAACTCTTC